AATGTAATCATTTGGTTGTTTAAATTGTTAGAGAAACTGAGTCTTTGTCAAAGAATAAGATTCTTGCTTTTTAAAACTTCTAATTATCAGTTTGGCCAAGTGAATAAGTGACTTCATAGTGAACTGAGATTCTGTTTTGTGGAGAATTTTAAGAGTAAGAAGAATTAGACAGAAAGGAAAATGGCATGATGTAAAGAAAGAATTTGTGTAATAAATTTTGCCCTGAAACAGAATCGTCGTATAGGAAAGTGAAAGGCAGGGCAAAAGTTAAAGAAGGTTTAGAATGTTTGTAGATTGTTTGTGCAAGTTAAGTAAAGCTCAAAAGAAAAAAAGAATTTGTGAAAGAATTTACATGTAATTCAGTTGACTATGTATTTCCTTTAAAATCTTTCAGCATGTAATCTTATTTAAACCAATGTTTTAGGCCTTTGATATTTGACAAACCTTCCAAAATCAAAAGTCTAAATTTAGGCGTGGCACCCATAGTGCAGTGGTTACAGTGCTGACCACATGCACTGGGGTTGAAAGGTTTGAACTCGGTCCAGAAAACAAAAAGCACAACTCTAAATTTGGTCTTTTTGAAATATTAAGACCACTGAAAGGCATAGAAAAACAAATTGAACTCATTTAATTTATTGAAAATGTATAGGAAACATTGTCAAATATAAAATGGTGATTAATTTTGTATGAATTATGGTTATATATATGTGTTCCAACATTATAAAATATTGGTCTGTTCTAACATATATTGTCAGTAATAATTTTAATTCATCTAAAAAAAAGGAAAAAAGAAATATTAAGAGAGAGGCTGATGAATTTTCTCGAATTTAAATTCCTGATGTCTTTAAAAACTGAGTACCTTTGGGCTAAAAGCAGATTTCTAGAACTTTTATTGAAAAGTTAACATGTCTATGAACTTCAAACAGAACAAAAATCAGTTATATGAAACTAGGCTAGTTTGTTATGACTTTTTGTTTAAAATGTTATTGGTTCTTTCTGTGTTCTGTTTTCCAGAAGTTAAGAAAATAATTCTCTGTCTTTTGAGCTATTTGTAGCTTTTCAAGGAATGTATATACTTATGAGCAGAGTTTGAAACATGTATCTTTCTCTCTCCTTGATTTCTCCGGAATTTGAAAGTCATTAGTAAGTATTATTAGTTTCTGACAATACAGTTATTTGCATAAGTTCAATAAGAATCTGTTTTGTTCTCTAGGACTTGATGAAGGCACTGGTTATTTTACCAAGGCAATGGCTGGAATAGCATTTCCAGAGGTGTCCAGACTGCGTTAAGGAATTAAGGTTGACTTTATAAGGCCAATAAAGAAAGCCCTTTGGAAAACTGGCCAGATACCCATCAGTTACCTTTCCTGATCTGTGGTAAGTAACGAAGGTCACTTGCTATCAGGTCTGAGAAATCAAAAGGTGCTTGGGGAACCTCAAAAGAAGAGGAATGTACCCAATGCATACAGGTATCTTATGGCACAGATGAAACCTGGGCTCATGAAAGGCTCTTGAGAAAGTCCGGCCTGAAAAATTCCTTATAAAAGGTTCCAGCAAAGCCAAAGTGTCTAGATGATTAATAATTCTTACTGCACTTTATGCAAATAATCAGTATACTGAGATCCACGTTATTTTGGCAACTAAGTTGACTCTACTATAATTTGTCTCTAGTTAAGAGAGAAATTAGAGAGAGAGAAAAATAATTCAAAATAAAAAGAAAAAGGCTGTGGCCCACCTGTATTAGATCCCAGCCTTATCTGTACTGCCAACTCATAAAATGAGTCATAACTGTTTTGGTAAATTGAACTGTAAAATGGGACTAAAAGACTGGTCAAAAAGTGTGAATGTGTGTCTCAGAAGGGAGACCTTGGATAGAAATGGGGAACGACCAAGGGAGCCCACCTCATTAGCTACTATGTTGGAAAATTTGTAAGTGACTATGACACCAGGAGGAGTCTTTGTGAGTAGGAGAGGCCTCTCTTTAGAAATGGATGGCTATCAGAAAGAAAACCCTTAGCCGATTAGCTACAAGTAGAGACAGGGGGGAGAGGGGACGCATTCCCCTAAGAAGTGACAAGTGCGCATACTGCAGACAGAATGGGCACTGGAGAAAGAATTGTCCCCTGAGGGAGAGCACAAAAGATCAGTGCTCCTTCTGCAAAAAGAGTGGACATTAGAGGAAGGACTACTCCCTTCGGATTCAGAAAAAACCTCCAATCCCGGTGTTGAAGCTGTTGGGGTTCGATGATTAGGGCTGTCAGGGCTCGTCTCCCCTCCATGAGCCCCGGGTAACTCTCAAAGTGGAGAGGACTCCTATAACCTTTTTAGTGGACACAGGAGCACAACATTCAGTTTTAACCCAAAACAACGGCCCAATGGACAAAAAGAAATCCTGGGTCCAGGGGGCTACAGGAATAAAACAATATTCATGGACTACCAGAAGAACAGTGGACTTAGGCATGGGCCGGGTATCCCATGCCTTTATGGTCATCCCTGAATGCCCCTACCCCCTCTTAGGATGAGATTACCTTAGCAAGGTGGGGGCCCAAATCACCTTTAAAGATAGGGGCACAGAGGTCACAGACCTCAAAGGACAGCCAATTCAAGTCCTCTCCATGGCCCTCCAAGATGAATATAGACTTTATGATTCCCTCCCTGAAGGGAGTGGGAATCCTGACAAAGAATGGTGGCTACGGGAATTCCCAATGTCATGGGCAGAAACTGGGGGAGTGGGGAATCCTTCCCATCCTCCCCCCATAGTTGTAGAATTGAAGCCCACGGCCTCGCTGGTGCATGTGCGCCAATACCCTATGCCCCAAGAGGACTGAGCTGGCATCACACCACACATTCGTCGACTTCTGCTAAATCAGATTTTGGTGCCATGCCAATCTGCTTGGAATACACCCCTGCTACCTGTAAAAAAACGTTTGACCAACGATTACCAGCCAGTACAGGATCTGAGGGAAGTAAACAAAAGAGTTATGGACATTCATCCCACAGTCCCCAAACCTTATACCTTGCTCAGCACCCTAACTCCAGACAAAGACTGGTACACTGTGCTAGATTTAAAAGATGCCTTTTTTAGTCTCCCTCTAGCCCCACAGAGCCAGCCTCTGTTTGCCTTTGAATGGAGTGACCCAGACCAAAGACTCCACGGCCAGTTGACGTGGACCTGTCTGCCACAAGGATTCAAAAACTCACCCACCATATTCGACGAGGCCCTACACGAAGACCTCAGTGAGTACAGACAGCTTCACCCCCAGGTCACCCTCTTCCAGTATGTAGATGACTTATTAATTGTGGCCAGCACTAAAAAAGAGTGCCTCTTAGCCACTGGAAATTTGCTGACTGCTCTGGGGACCCAAGGATACCGTGCATCAGCCAAGAAGGCCCAGATATGTCAACAGACTGTAAGTTACCTGGGGTATGTCCTAAAGGGAGGCCAACGGTGGCTCACTTAAGCCCGTAAGGAGACAGTTTTAAAAATCCCCACTCCTACCTCTGCGAGGGGGGTGCAGGAGTTCTTGGGCTCAGCCGGATTTTGCTGGCTATGGATTCTGGGGTTCGCAGAGCTAGCCAGACCCCTCTATGAGGCTACCGAATCACCTACCTTCCAATGGACCCCGGAGAAGGAGGAGGCCTTCCAGAAAATCAAAAAGACCCTCCTGTCAGCCCTAGCTCTAGGCTTACCAGACATTAAAAAGCCATTTCATCTGTACGTAGATGAACGCGGGGGCATTGCAAAAGGGGTGCTGACCAAAACCCTGGGCCCATGGACTCGACCAGTAGCCTATCTTTCAAAATAACTGGACTCAGTGGTGGCAGGATGGCCGCCCTGCTTGCGTATTATTGCAGCCACTGCCCTGTTGGTTAAAGATGCTGACAAACTTACCCTGGGGCAAGAATTGATCATTATGACTCCACACGCTGTGGAAGGGGTCCTAAAACAGCCCCCCGACAGGTAGCTGAGTAACGCCCGCCTCATTCACTATCAGAGTCTGCTACTTAACCCCCGCACGCATTCAGTTCCTGCCTAAAACATCTTTAAACCCAGTAACCTTGCTACCAGATCCGGACTTCGAGGCCCCCCTGCACTAGTGCGCTGATATTCTATCCCAGTCTTTCAGTGTGCACCAGGACCTGACAGACCAACCCCTCCCAGATGCTGAGGACACCTGGTTCACAGACGGGAGCAGCTTTGTAAGGGAAGGTTGCAGGTATGCTGGGGCAGCAGCAGTATCAGAGACTAAAGTCATATGGGCAGTGCCCCTACCCTCAGGAACTTCAGCTCAGAAGGCTGAACTCATGGGCCTCACCAGGGCCCTAGAATTAGGAGAGGGCCAAAGATTAAATGTGTATACCGATAGCAGGTATGCATTTGCTACTGCCCATGTGCATGGGGCCATTTACCAAGAGCAAGGGCTCCTCACAGCAGAGGGAAAGACTGTTAAAAAAATAAAGAAGAAATACAAGCACTCCTAAAGGCCCTCTGGCTCCCCTCCAAACTAGCTATTATCCATTGCCCCAGGCACCAACAAGCCAATAATCCAGTGGCAAGAGGGAATCAGCTGGCAGATCAGACTGCCAAGACTGTAACTACTTCTGCATCACCCACCCTACCAATCACTCTACCAGACCCAGAGCCCCCATGCTTACCTGAAAACCCAAAATATACCCCAGAGGACCTGCAATGGGTATGTCACATTCCCCAAGTGCACAGCCCAGAAAAGTACTGAGGATGGTACATTACTGCACATTGAAAAGCCCTTCTCCCTGCAAAGCTCGGAGAAGAAATCTTGCATAAGATCCATTCCTCCACCCATCTGGGAGCCAGAAAGATGAAGGACCTTTTAAGACAGTCCGAAATTAAGATCCAGAATCAGAATACCAAGATTGATGCCTTAGTAGCAGCTTGCCAAGTCTGTGCTCTAACTAATTGTACCCCAAATCCAGCAAACCTAGGTACACAGCAGAGGGGCGACATGCCAGGTACGTACTGGGAAGTGGACTTTACTGAAATAAAAACAAGAAAATATGGCTATAAATACCTACTAGTATTTGTATACACATTCTCAGGGTGGGTAGAAGCCTACCCCACCAAAAATGAAACAGCCCAGACTGTGGCAAAGAAACTGTTAGAAGAAATCATGCCCAGATATGGACTCCCCACCCAAATAGGATCAGCTAATGGGCCAGCTTTTACCTCTCAAATAGTACAGAGCTTAAGCAAAGCCCTAGGGACCACCTAGAAATTACATTGTGCTTACAGACCCCAGAGTTCAGGTCAGGTAGAGCGGATGAATAGAACTCTCAAAGAAACTTTGACTAAACTTATACTAGAGTCTGGTGGGGACTGGGTGTCTCTCCTCCCCTTCACCCTTTACCGGGCCCAAAATATAATAGGAAAAACTCCTTTTGAAATCCTGTATGGGAGGGAACCCCCTATAACCCCAAAACTCCCAAGTGTAGGAGTCACGGACCCCCAAACGTCAGATCAGGGCTATAAAGACCTGGCACTAACTCTAGATTGCTTTCAGAAAACTCAACAGCAGGACTGGCAGAGGCTCATTGACCTGTATTCATCCAGGTCGGGACCTGACCCACATGCCTACTGACCTGGAGACTGGGTGTATGTCAAGCGTCACCTGTGGGAGTCGCTAGAGTCACGGTGGAAGGGCCCATACACCATTATCCTGACCACCCTGACAGCCATCAAAGTGGACAGCATTGCCTCCTGGATCCATTACACCCACATCCGGCTGGCAGACCCATTCGCTGACGCTGACGACTACACACCTGAGTGGAAACTGTTGAAGGACCCTGACAACCCCCTGAAACTCAAACTTCATAAGACTCAACCCCCAAAATGGGCCCCTCTCCACTAATAGTACTCTTACTTGTGTGTACATCATCCCCGAATTTACACCAACCCTTAATCTTGCTGGTTATGTTTTCAAGCCAAACCCCCCTTCTACAAGACAATTGCAGTAGGCGGTACCCCCGTGTGATTAGCAGCAAGGCTTGTCATTGGCAGCAACTAGGGCCCCACATGACCCTCCCCTCAGTATCAGGACAGGGCCTATGTGAAGGTACTCCCACCACCCAGTTTGCCCACCTCTGTAACAGCTCCTACTTTTAGAATCAATCACAATACCTCCAGCCCCTAGTGAATCTTCAGTGGGCTTGCACCACTGGCCTAACCCCCTGCTTACATGGCACAGTACTAAATTTAACCAAAGACTTCTCCATGGCAGTGCAGCTGTTTCCCTGCTTAATCTATCACTCTGAAAAAGATATGTATTCAACCCTAGGAATCCAGCTTCCGAGGCAGCGCAGAGAGCTTTTCACTGCCCTCACAGTGGCAATACTCTTAAGCCTTGCAGGTGCTGGACCAGTCACTGGGGCAGCATCTCGGGCCTTGCAGGACCAGAACTATAAAGCTTTAAGGGCAACTATTGACTTAGACATAGACAAAATCATAAAAAATTAAATCTATTATTTTTACAGCAAAAAGGTTTATGTGCAACCTTAGGAAAAAAAAATGTTATTTTTATGAATTAGGGAGGGACTCCGGAAGCGTAAGCTAGAGCAAGAACAATCCCAATCATAGTCCACAGGTCCCCCTGGCTCACCACCTTACTATCAGCAATTGCTGGCCCCCTTTTAATCCTGCTCCTGCTACTGACTCTAGGACCCTGCATCATTAATCACCTTGTTGCTTTTATATGGGCCAGAATCAATACTGTTCAGCTGTTAGTCCTCCATTCCCAAAATGCCCCCATGCATACTGTAGAAGATAGAGCTCAGGATTGAGCATCAGTCACAAGAGAAAGGGGGGAATGAGAGGGCCAGACTAGCTCCATCTTTCTGTTTACTACATAAGCCCCACTCCTAGCTGTTTACTACATAAGCCTCACTCTTAGCTGTTTACTACATAAGCCCCACTCCTAGCTGTTTACTACATAAACTACATAGGCCCTACTCCTAACTGTTTACTACACAAGCCCCATTCCTAGCTGTTTACTGCATAAACTCCATTCCTAGCCCTTCCGCCCCAACCTCTGCAAGTAAAACCTGCAGAGCCACTCCCTGCTGCCTTCCCCCACCCCTCACCTGTACCAATCCAAATTCTCCTTTACTAATGAAATCACCAACCACCAATCGAAAGTGTACTCTTATCCGACCTACCCCTCTTGCTTTCTGTACCCCATAAAAACTTCCTCCACCCCAGGTTTGGGGCTCTTCCTCGACTTGCATGCCAGGAGAGACCAGGCCCGGGCTTGAATAAATCTCACCTCTTGCTTTTACATAAGAGTGTGTCTCGGATTTGTCTGCTGGGGCCTTTTAGGAGAATTTCAGGCATAATAATTCACTGAAGGAACATGAGTTTTTCAAGCAGCAGAAGCGAGTAGCTGTGTTACTGGAGCAGGAACAGCAGCAGGAAATAGCCAAGATGGCTGTCCCTCAGCCCCCACAAGATATGAGCCAAATTGGTGTGCGTACTCCTCTGGGTCCTCAAGTAGCTGCTCCAGTGGGTCCAGTGGGCCCCACTCCCACTGTTTTGCCCATGGGAGCACCCGTTCCTCGGCCTCGTGGTCCCCCACCACTTCCTGGAGATGAGAACAGAGAGATGGATGACCCCTCTGTGGGCGCGAAGATCCCCCAGGCTTTGGAAAAGATCCTACAGATGAAGGAGAGCCGTCAGGTAGAGATGAACTCACAACAGGAGGAAGAGGGCATGGAAACAGACACTCGCTCACCCCTAGGCCAGTCAGCATCAGAGACTGAGGAGAACACAGTGTCCATATCCAAAAAAGAGAAAAACCAGAAGCATCGGAACCCAAAGAAGAAGAAAAAATCCCAGTGGGTGCGGGGGGTATCATCTGAGAGCCCTGGGGACCGAGAGAAAGACTCAGCTCAGTCTCAGGGCACTGATTCCCCAGCTGCTGATGTTGAGATCAAGTATGTGACCAAAGAACCTGAAATCTATGAGCCCAACTTCATCTTCTTCAAGAGAATCTTTGAGGCTTTCAAGCTGACTGGTGACGTGAAGAAAGAGAAAGAGAAGGAGCCAAAGAAACTCGACAAACTGGAGAACGCTGCTGCCCCCAAGAAGAAGGGCTTCGAGGAGAAGCACAAGGACAGTGATGTTGACAGCAGTGACAAAGAACAGGAAAAGAAGCCAGAAGCACCTAAGCTGTCCAGGAAGAAGCTGTGCCGAATGAATCCATTCACAGTGGCTGAACTCAAGCAGCTGGTTGCTCGACCTGATGTTGTGGAGATGCATGATGTGATGGCCCAGGACCCTAAGTTGTTGGTTCACCTCAAGGCTACTTGAGACTCTGTGCCTGTGCCACGACACTGGTGTTTTAAGTGCAAGTACCTGCAGGGTAAACGAGGCATTGAGAAGCCCCACTTTGAGCTACCAGACTTCATCAAATGCAGAGGCATCCAGGAGATGGAGGAGGCCCTGCAGGAAAAGGAAGAACAGAAGACCATGAGTCAAAAATGTGAGGTTTGACCCAAGATGGGCAAGATTGACATTGACTACCAGAAACTACATGATGCCTTCTTCAAGTGGCAGACCAAGCCGAAGCTGACCATCCATGAGGACCGATGTTACAAGGGCAAGAAGTCTGAGACACGACTGAAGGAGACCTGTCTGATGAGCTAAGAATTTCCTTGGGGATGCCAGTAGGACCAAATGCATATAAGTTTCTTCCCCTGTGGATGATTTCCATGCAACTATATGAACCACCCCCAACCTACCCCAAACTGAAAATCCCTGGCCTGAACTCACCCATCCCTGAGAGCTATTCCTTTGGGTATCATGCTGGTGGCTGGGGCAACCCACCAGTAGATGAGACTGGGAAACCACTCTATGGGGATGTGTTTGGAACCAATGCTGCTGAATTTCAGAACAAGACTGAAGAAGAAATTGATCGGACCCCTTGGGGGGAACTAGAGCCGTCTGATGAGGAGTCTTCAGAAGAAGAGGAAAGTGATGAAGACAAACCAGATGAAACAAGCTTTATTACCCCTGCAGACAGTGGCCTCATCACTCCTGGAGGTTTCTCTTCAGTCCCAGCTGGAATGGAGACCCCTGAACTCATTGAGCTGAGGAAGAAGAAGATTGAAGAGGCCATGGATGGAAGTGAGATACCTCAGCTCTTCACTGTGTTGCTGGAGAAGAGAACAGCCACTGTTGGAGGAGCTATGATGGGATCAACCCACATTTACGACATGTTCACGGTTATGAGCCGAAGGGCCCGGCCTCTGAGCTGCAAGGTGTGAAAGTGGCCTTGAACCCTGAGGAGTTGGACCCCATGGCCATGACCCAGAAGTACGAGGATCACATACAGGAGCAGCAGGCACAAGTGGAGAAGGAAGACTTCAGCGACATGGTGGCCGAGCATGCTGCCAAGCAGAAGCAAAAGAAACAGAAAGCCCAGCCCCAGGACAGCTGCTAGGGCAGCAAGAAATACAAGGAGTTCAAATTTTAAATCTCGACACACACCTGGCCCTCTTAGGCCCTTTGATTGGATGTGACTTCACAGATGGGTCCCCAAGAGCCACCTTTCAGCATTTCCCAAGAGCTTATTTTGTGTTATTTTAGACCTGTTTTGTAAATAAAGCTGTTTGCCAAGGAAGGAGATGAATATGTAACAGTAAATAAATAAATAAAAGCTGAATTCTCCTATTCC